CCCTGTGATGGATTGGAGACCTGTCCAGGTGTCCCTGTGATGGACTGGAGACCTGTCCAGGGTGTCCCTGTGATGGATTGGAGACCTGTCCAGGTGTCTCTGTGATGGACTGGAGACCTGTCCAGGTGTCCCTGTGATGGACTGGAGACCTATCCAGGTGTCCCTGTGATGGACTGGAGACCTGTCCAGGGTGTCCCCTGCCCCTCGCACAGTGATTGCTGGACATGGGCACCGGCGACCCCCGTGACCCAAAATGGAAGAAGCGGTAAAAGATAATGGATGGATGGATACTTTTGTCCTGAGAGCCCCGTGGCTGCAGGGAAGCACGGTGGTGGCAGCATCATGGTGTGGGGATGATTTTAATCAAGGAGAGGAAACCAAAGTCAATAAAATGACAATCTATGGATTGAAAGAAAATCAGAAAAACAATTTCCACTCAACAAAATGGACATTTAACCACCACCTTATTTAGTTGTTTGTGTTTATTCAACTTAAAAACTTTAGTTTGATTAAATTTAATAAGGCTGGTGTTACTTTATAATTTTTGAGCAACTCATTGATTATTAACATCATCAGACCAGGACTCTGAGGTTATCTGCAGGTCAGAGGTCACTCTTTCAAGGATGAAGATGTTCACATCCTGGACAGAGAGGAACGATGGTTTGAGAGAGGAGTAAAGGAGGCCATCTTTGTGAAAAGAAACCGTCCATCATTAAACAGGGGTGGAGCCTCCGTGTTCAACTGTCCCCCTCTTACAATGCTGTGATTGCTAGTATCACTCAGCCCTCTGTGAACAGTAAACAGCCATCAGGTGCTAATGATCCATTGTTAGGCTGATGGTCCTTCTTGAGCATGTGATCAGCTGGTTTTGGTTGTCAGCAGCAAAACTGGTTGATCCACTCTGAGAAGGTGCTATTTAAGAGACTGAGCTGAATACAGCACCTCAGACTGAGGAAGTCCTCAGGATAAAACATGAATGTTTCAACAAGAACAATCATCCAGAGGACCTGACTCCACCTGGTGAGACAGCAGGAGTCAGTTTCTCCAAGAAGCAGCAGAGTCTCCCCCTGGTGGACACTTGGAGCAACTAACAAACTGCAGAAGAGTCTGGGAGAAGAAGGGCTCACGTTTAACTTTACAGTTTTTAATTAAAAGGATGGTCTTTGTTGTGTTTTAGGGTGAACAATAAAATATGAATATTCTACCTGAATGTTCTCATGTTTCCATCATCCTGCAGCTCTGAGAAAATACATGTCAAAAGTTTGGACCTCTGTCCAGCGCCCCCTGGTGGATCCCTCATGGTTTTAGTTATTTAACAAAAACTCTAAACGAGTCCTTTAGTTATTTATTTTAATCTAAATTAATATTTTGTTGATGTTGTACAGGTCTGTGTAAAAGTCCTGATCCGGTCCTGAAACAGACGGACTTTCCTGTGATTCTTTAAAGTGGACCAGGTCTCCAGACTTTCTGAAGGCCGTGTGGGAGAGACCTGGACCAGGACCTGATGGATCCATCACCCTGCAGTCAGCTGGTCGAAAGTAAAAACTCATTTTTCTGTTAAACTCTCATCTTTAGTGTTTTTAAGAAGAAAAGTCTGAGCTGAAGTTGGACTGAGAGCTCGAGACAAAACACCTGATGTTTATTTTTATTTCTGTTCTTCATTATTTATCTGCTCATCAGAGGAGGAGGGGCTTATTTAGTCCTCAGGTCAGATCCTCATGATGGGGCGGGGCCTAAACTAACCTGTCTCCAGAGGTGCTGAAAAACAGAGGACAAACTGTGAGGCTGTTTAACTCGACGTGTGAAGATTCTTGAGCGGCGAGTCTGAAAACAGCTACACACCCACACAGCAGCCAAAGCCGAAGCTAAAGCTAATATTGATGCTGAGGGAGAGGAGCCGATGAAGATGTGAACTCACAGATAAGTCCAAGAGGCTCCTCTGAGGCCATCAGATGAGTTACAATGTAAAACTAAACGTCTTGTATAAACTCTTCAGACCTCAGCTGTTTTCACTCGTCCATCACCTCTGACGCCTCGTCCAGATAAAATTCATCAGATTCAGTAAAGATGATTTTTCTACTTGTCCTCTGCAGATAAACACAAACGTGTGGATGCAGACTGAGCTTCTCAGCTGCTGAGCTGGACGACATCTGAGCCGTTTCTGTTGAATCTTTAATGAAAGGAGATCAAACCTGCAGATGTTGCACATCAGCAGGAGACAGCAGAACGTTGTGGACACAGCTCCTGACAGAAACAAGGTTCTGCTGCAGTTCGAGCGGGACGTGAAGGTTCAGTCTGGGGCAGATGTTTGAGCTCAGGGTGGTGTTTGTTTGCAGATCTGGGATCAGCTCAGAGACGTGTTGATTCAGCCGAGTGGGACGCCTTCAGCTGATCCCACTTCAGCTTTAATCTGAACCACAGAAACACAGAGCTGAGCCGAAACGTGACGAGTGAACAGAACCACGTGCAGCGAATTCATCTTTGGCTGTTTTCATTCAAACTAGTCGTCTGATGAGACTCGAAGGAAACGTCACAAAATGAACACACATTAAAACACACAGTCTGCAGAGAGATGCATGAAGTCACGGCTCAAAGCAGAAAGAAAAGAAGTGAGAACAAATGATAAAGACCAAAGATTTAAAAAGAGTCGCAGCACGAAGCAAACTGAGACAAAAATAAAAACGCAGCTCGGATCGTTTTACGTGAAACAAGGAGACACAACCCGCCCGCTTCCTGCCAAAAGATTAAAACCGTCGTGTGGAGTTTGTTCACACACAAAAACAAACACTTAAAAATGGATTGAAGGGGGAGAAAACAAGAAGATAAAAAGAGTCAACACAAAGATTGGTTTCAAAATGTGAGTTTTAATTCTGTGTCAACAGGAACCAGAGCAGCTTGAAGATTCACCAAACTGAATAAATCAGATCAGCACCCAGAAAACAACCTGGAGCTTTAAAGTTCTACTTCCTGAAGCTTTCTGTGAAACTAAACTAACCTTCTGCATCTGCGTTTTCCATAAGTTGTTTTATGGCATCTTGATTTATGGTTTTATAAAACACTTTTATTTGTACTGTCGCTTATTGTTGTTGTCTGAACCTCCTCTGTGTTCTTTGTTAAAACTGGTCTCTCTTGTAAATGAGTCCTCGAGACTCAACCTGCAGAAATAAAGGTTGAATGAGAAGAAATATTCAGATCTGTCCTCCTGTGGTGCTTTCAGGTGTTCTTTCTGTCCTCCTGTGGTGCTTTTAGGTGTTCTTTCTGTCCTCCTGTGGTGCATTCAGGTGTTCTTCCTGTCCTCCTGTGGTGCATTCAGGTGTTCTTTCTGTCCTTCTGCAGT